CTTACAATTCATTTGCCTGCGGGCGGCCGTGCCCCTCTACCCATTTTCATTTTTAATTCAATATTCAATCATATTTTTTAAATTTTGTTCATTTGGATTCTTACAATTCATTTGCCTGCGGGCGGCCGTGCCCCTCTACCCATTTTCATTTTTAATTCAATATTCAATCATATTTTTTAAATTTTGTTCATTTGGATTCTTACAATTCATTTGCCTGCGGGCGGCCGTGCCCCTCTACCCATTTTCATTTTTAATTCAATATTCAATCATATTTTTTAAATTTTGTTCATTTGGATTCTTACAATTCATTTGCCTGCGGGCGGCCGTGCCCCTCTACCCATTTTCATTTTTAATTCAATATTCAATCATATTTTTTAAATTTTGTTCATTTGGATTCTTACAATTCATTTGCCTGCGGGCGGCCGTGCCCCTCTACCCATTTTCATTTTTAATTCAATATTCAATCATATTTTTTAAATTTTGTTCATTTGGATTCTTACAATTCATTTGCCTGCGGGCGGCCGTGCCCCTCTACCCATTTTCATTTTTAATTCAATATTCAATCATATTTTTTAAATTTTGTTCATTTGGATTCTTACAATTCATTTGCCTGCGGGCGGCCGTGCCCCTCTACCCATTTTCATTTTTAATTCAATATTCAATCATATTTTTTAAATTTTGTTCATTTGGATTCTTACAATTCATTTGCCTGCGGGCGGCCGTGCCCCTCTACCCATTTTCATTTTTAATTCAATATTCAATCATATTTTTTAAATTTTGTTCATTTGGATTCTTACAATTCATTTGCCTGCGGGCGGCCGTGCCCCTCTACCCATTTTCATTTTTAATTCAATATTCAATCATATTTTTTAAATTTTGTTCATTTGGATTCTTACAATTCATTTGCCTGCGGGCGGCCGTGCCCCTCTACCCATTTTCATTTTTAATTCAATATTCAATCATATTTTTTAAATTTTGTTCATTTGGATTCTTACAATTCATTTGCCTGCGGGCGGCCGTGCCCCTCTACCCATTTTCATTTTTAATTCAATATTCAATCATATTTTTTAAATTTTGTTCATTTGGATTCTTACAATTCATTTGCCTGCGGGCGGCCGTGCCCCTCTACCCATTTTCATTTTTAATTCAATATTCAATCATATTTTTTAAATTTTGTTCATTTGGATTCTTACAATTCATTTGCCTGCGGGCGGCCGTGCCCCTCTACCCATTTTCATTTTTAATTCAATATTCAATCATATTTTTTAAATTTTGTTCATTTGGATTCTTACAATTCATTTGCCTGCGGGCGGCCGTGCCCCTCTACCCATTTTCATTTTTAATTCAATATTCAATCATATTTTTTAAATTTTGTTCATTTGGATTCTTACAATTCATTTGCCTGCGGGCGGCCGTGCCCCTCTACCCATTTTCATTTTTAATTCAATATTCAATCATATTTTTTAAATTTTGTTCATTTGGATTCTTACAATTCATTTGCCTGCGGGCGGCCGTGCCCCTCTACCCATTTTCATTTTTAATTCAATATTCAATCATATTTTTTAAATTTTGTTCATTTGGATTCTTACAATTCATTTGCCTGCGGGCGGCCGTGCCCCTCTACCCATTTTCATTTTTAATTCAATATTCAATCATATTTTTTAAATTTTGTTCATTTGGATTCTTACAATTCATTTGCCTGCGGGCGGCCGTGCCCCTCTACCCATTTTCATTTTTAATTCAATATTCAATCATATTTTTTAAATTTTGTTCATTTGGATTCTTACAATTCATTTGCCTGCGGGCGGCCGTGCCCCTCTACCCATTTTCATTTTTAATTCAATATTCAATCATATTTTTTAAATTTTGTTCATTTGGATTCTTACAATTCATTTGCCTGCGGGCGGCCGTGCCCCTCTACCCATTTTCATTTTTAATTCAATATTCAATCATATTTTTTAAATTTTGTTCATTTGGATTCTTACAATTCATTTGCCTGCGGGCGGCCGTGCCCCTCTACCCATTTTCATTTTTAATTCAATATTCAATCATATTTTTTAAATTTTGTTCATTTGGATTCTTACAATTCATTTGCCTGCGGGCGGCCGTGCCCCTCTACCCATTTTCATTTTTAATTCAATATTCAATCATATTTTTTAAATTTTGTTCATTTGGATTCTTACAATTCATTTGCCTGCGGGCGGCCGTGCCCCTCTACCCATTTTCATTTTTAATTCAATATTCAATCATATTTTTTAAATTTTGTTCATTTGGATTCTTACAATTCATTTGCCTGCGGGCGGCCGTGCCCCTCTACCCATTTTCATTTTTAATTCAATATTCAATCATATTTTTTAAATTTTGTTCATTTGGATTCTTACAATTCATTTGCCTGCGGGCGGCCGTGCCCCTCTACCCATTTTCATTTTTAATTCAATATTCAATCATATTTTTTAAATTTTGTTCATTTGGATTCTTACAATTCATTTGCCTGCGGGCGGCCGTGCCCCTCTACCCATTTTCATTTTTAATTCAATATTCAATCATATTTTTTAAATTTTGTTCATTTGGATTCTTACAATTCATTTGCCTGCGGGCGGCCGTGCCCCTCTACCCATTTTCATTTTTAATTCAATATTCAATCATATTTTTTAAATTTTGTTCATTTGGATTCTTACAATTCATTTGCCTGCGGGCGGCCGTGCCCCTCTACCCATTTTCATTTTTAATTCAATATTCAATCATATTTTTTAAATTTTGTTCATTTGGATTCTTACAATTCATTTGCCTGCGGGCGGCCGTGCCCCTCTACCCATTTTCATTTTTAATTCAATATTCAATCATATTTTTTAAATTTTGTTCATTTGGATTCTTACAATTCATTTGCCTGCGGGCGGCCGTGCCCCTCTACCCATTTTCATTTTTAATTCAATATTCAATCATATTTTTTAAATTTTGTTCATTTGGATTCTTACAATTCATTTGCCTGCGGGCGGCCGTGCCCCTCTACCCATTTTCATTTTTAATTCAATATTCAATCATATTTTTTAAATTTTGTTCATTTGGATTCTTACAATTCATTTGCCTGCGGGCGGCCGTGCCCCTCTACCCATTTTCATTTTTAATTCAATATTCAATCATATTTTTTAAATTTTGTTCATTTGGATTCTTACAATTCATTTGCCTGCGGGCGGCCGTGCCCCTCTACCCATTTTCATTTTTAATTCAATATTCAATCATATTTTTTAAATTTTGTTCATTTGGATTCTTACAATTCATTTGCCTGCGGGCGGCCGTGCCCCTCTACCCATTTTCATTTTTAATTCAATATTCAATCATATTTTTTAAATTTTGTTCATTTGGATTCTTACAATTCATTTGCCTGCGGGCGGCCGTGCCCCTCTACCCATTTTCATTTTTAATTCAATATTCAATCATATTTTTTAAATTTTGTTCATTTGGATTCTTACAATTCATTTGCCTGCGGGCGGCCGTGCCCCTCTACCCATTTTCATTTTTAATTCAATATTCAATCATATTTTTTAAATTTTGTTCATTTGGATTCTTACAATTCATTTGCCTGCGGGCGGCCGTGCCCCTCTACCCATTTTCATTTTTAATTCAATATTCAATCATATTTTTTAAATTTTGTTCATTTGGATTCTTACAATTCATTTGCCTGCGGGCGGCCGTGCCCCTCTACCCATTTTCATTTTTAATTCAATATTCAATCATATTTTTTAAATTTTGTTCATTTGGATTCTTACAATTCATTTGCCTGCGGGCGGCCGTGCCCCTCTACCCATTTTCATTTTTAATTCAATATTCAATCATATTTTTTAAATTTTGTTCATTTGGATTCTTACAATTCATTTGCCTGCGGGCGGCCGTGCCCCTCTACCCATTTTCATTTTTAATTCAATATTCAATCATATTTTTTAAATTTTGTTCATTTGGATTCTTACAATTCATTTGCCTGCGGGCGGCCGTGCCCCTCTACCCATTTTCATTTTTAATTCAATATTCAATCATATTTTTTAAATTTTGTTCATTTGGATTCTTACAATTCATTTGCCTGCGGGCGGCCGTGCCCCTCTACCCATTTTCATTTTTAATTCAATATTCAATCATATTTTTTAAATTTTGTTCATTTGGATTCTTACAATTCATTTGCCTGCGGGCGGCCGTGCCCCTCTACCCATTTTCATTTTTAATTCAATATTCAATCATATTTTTTAAATTTTGTTCATTTGGATTCTTACAATTCATTTGCCTGCGGGCGGCCGTGCCCCTCTACCCATTTTCATTTTTAATTCAATATTCAATCATATTTTTTAAATTTTGTTCATTTGGATTCTTACAATTCATTTGCCTGCGGGCGGCCGTGCCCCTCTACCCATTTTCATTTTTAATTCAATATTCAATCATATTTTTTAAATTTTGTTCATTTGGATTCTTACAATTCATTTGCCTGCGGGCGGCCGTGCCCCTCTACCCATTTTCATTTTTAATTCAATATTCAATCATATTTTTTAAATTTTGTTCATTTGGATTCTTACAATTCATTTGCCTGCGGGCGCCCATGATCCCCTCAATTTTTTGTTATAATTTTACTCTATATCCAGACAGCAATGTAATGTTCATAAAAAATTGTGGTAATGTTCTCAATAGAATGATTACATTGTGAGAAAGTTTTATATTAGTTTCCACATAATTATTCAATGTTCCTATAACATTCTGACATAATTATTTGGCCACAACAGTAAAGTTCGCTGAACATTATTTAAAAATCTTCTGATAACATTGGCCTATAACATTCACAAAAAGTTATGACAAAAAATTCTAATAATCTTCTAATCAAATTATATCCAGAATATTTTATTATTGTACTTTTTTAAAAACTATTAAAAATAGTTTACTTTTTGTTGAAATAAAAAAAAAACTAGAAGTTAATTTAAATAATAACATTTAATATTTATTAAACAATTTAAGAAGTTATTTCATTTGTTTTTATTGTTCTTTTCTTCCTTATCTCTTATTCTAAACTTTAAATGATCCAACCAAACTTGCAATGGAATATCAATTTTTTGATCTGGAGCATTGTTGTATTGTACGTTCGCTCTCACAGCATCTTAAACAAATAATCAATTATTATATAAATTACCAAAAAATATATTCATATTTGAAAGATAGAAGATAGGATCATATATTATACACCAGGGATGGGCAACTGACGAAACACGTGCCGGCCATTAGTAACTGGCCCTTGCTACACTTCAAATTACTTAGTAAAAATATAAAATTTGTTATGTTTATTGTAAAATGAAGTATAGAATTATTAAATGTTTTAATATTATATTATTTATAGGGGTATACAAGTAAACATAGCTTATTTATTTTTTGCTTTCTATATGTTCTCTAGTCTACTAGATTTTTGCACTTTCAAAATTGGGCCTCTAGTAGCATTGAGTTGCCCATCCCTGTTATAAACTATACATGTGTAGGTCAGAAATAAGGTGAAAGATGTATGGGAATTTTTAATGGCTATGTAACATTACATAGTTAAACATTTTTTTTTTTTAAATTATATGTAGCAGATATATTATCATTTATTAAGATAATACATGGATTTCATTGTATTGTAGTATTAACATGCTAAATGCATAAACAATAATATAGTAGTCGTGTTTTACTTTATTGGAACATAGGTTCAAATGAAATACTTGATATGATATACGTAATTAAATAATAATACTAAATCATAAATTTGTATTAAAAAAAAATGTTGCAATTTAATAATTTTTAGAACGGTAGAAATAAATTAGCTCAACTAAAATAATTATTCCTGTTGATTGTCCCTCCCAAATAAATCTTGTTTATGCCAAATATATTTGAATTGCATTAATTATACATAGGGATATTGCAGGGATGAAGGTATATAAGGCAAGAAGAATTGTATTAACAATATGTTATTATGTAGGTACACATTTTTTAATATCCTTACCAATAAGTACACGATAAACGTTCAGATTTCTAAATGTCTTATTATGTTTAAATCCAGTTAATGAGTAGTTCAAAAGTAATGTATCATCACATAAACGTGAAATTATTCTTCGCACACTCGTGTTTAGATTGTTGTTATCTACTAATAATGACAACTTATATACCTAAAATAAATGAAAACTAATATAAGTCAGCCATGGAAGTACTAAAGCAATTGTATAAAGAAGTTTTACAATATTACCAATTCATTTTTAAACTGAATATCATCTATCTTTTTTTCTATATCCATAAGTTGGTCTTCAGTAGTTATAGGAAACATATTCATATCCAAACTACTTTGTTTTAGAGAAACTGTTGAAACAAAATTACTGTCATTTGATTTTGATATGAGCGCTTGAGCCTTTTCATTGGTGTCTTTAACAATATGCATCATAGCACTAATGTCATACTTAAAATGTGTTAAAGAAGTAAATACACATTTTTGAAAATCTAAAAAACAAAACCAATTGATAAAATAATTATACATAGTTATTAATTATTAATAAAGTGTATACACTAGCTGTTGCTTGTATTATTTTAAGAGATGTAAATTATATTTCTTAATATATCTACTCCATAATGCATTAAATCTACAATACAAGGATAATATGTATTGATGAATGTGTTATGCCAATTGTATTATGTACAATTATATAATATTTACTGAATAGATATAAATGATTATCATTATTGTAAGCAAAGGTTTTTATTTAAGATTCTAGTAAGATATAATTTAATTAGAAGTTATATTCTGAATAATAATAAACATTTTATATTAGTTTAATTTTATATTACCATGAGAAGATATGAACATATTATCATCAAGATTAGATGGCAGATTTGTAAACTTTGATGTACCTACATCTGAAGTTGATTCTGTAACAAAAATAGTATACTGTATTATATTTTATTATTATATAATTATTAAATTAGAGATTATAATACTCACCATTATTCTCCATTTTACTATTTTCATCTAAAACCAAGGTTCTTGTCACATTTGCTAATCTTACTTTATCATTAGTTTCATTATTAACACTAGAAATATTCCATTTTCCGGGTGACCTGAAAGGACCTTGATTATTAATTTCAAGTTCAGTTCGTTCTCTTTCGTTTAATGCATTAACTTTCCAGGTCTGTGTGTTAGGTGAAAATGATACAACACTTGTTTCATGTTAAGTAATACTTTTTTCTGAAGATGAATCATCATGGCTAACTGTAAAATTTGGTAACAAATTAATTCAATTTCAGTTATTAACTGAAATTTCATGCATTTAATTGAAAACTAAGTTTTGCAAACAATTATTTGAGTTTTTCAAAATTGGAATTATAATAGTTAGCTATTTTAAGTATTGTTAATTATACCTTTATAGTTCAAACATTTAATTTCCCAATCTGGGTCGTCATCTGAATCATCCGGGACATCACTTATTGACCCACCAAAGTCTTTAACAACCAATGTCTCAAGATTAGTATTTTCATCAACTTCTAAACATCTATCATCATTTTTGTTTGAAAAAACATAACTATTTTTTGATTGTATCATTGTAGGATCTGAAAATACAATTGTTATTTAATATTTAGTTTAACATAATGTTTAAGTTGAACATCAATCAGTAGTACAAATAACTTTTAATTTTTTTTCTATTAAATAATTTGTAAAATAATAAAAATAATTGTATTCAAATTAAAATTGAATAAAAAAAAAATCTTCAAATAGAATTTTAAGCACTAACTTCTAGAGTAAACATCTTTGTATAAAGGAGGGGCATTCTTTATCGATTTGAATCCACCAGAACCAAATCTTTACCTTTTTTCTTTTGTGGTATCGTCTTCTATAGATAAATCAGAATTAATAGCTGCTCTTGGAAGTTTAGCTTGTGCTTTGGCTAATGTTGCTATAATACAAAGTAAGTTAACTAAAATTAATATTTTTCTAGTAGATTATTATAATATTATCCGGTAATAGTTACCAAAGTTTTTAGTTCCCAATGTACGTGCTGGATAGTATATAAATTCTGTTTTATTGGGTTTATATCTGTTTTTAATCAATTGTTTTATATTTTTTGTTGATTTTGGCCAGGCACAAAATCCTTTTTTAAACCATGTATCGGGCACAGCTTCTATACTATTTCCCTTATAAAATACAACGACCTCCCATCGAGCCATCTGTAAGTCAAAAATTAACTTACTAAGAAATCAGTAGAGCAATTATATTAAATAACAGTTTAAGATTAATCTATATATTAATATTAATAAGTATTAAATTGATGTATTTTTGATTTGTTACTTAATAATTTCTATAACAAAATCTATATATTTATCTGCTATAGGTACCCCCCTATATATGTATATAACACTTCAAATTTGTAAAAATATTATACCTGATGAGACAATTTATTCTCTGGTATGTATTACTGATACAGCAATCATTTTATCATCATGATTGAAAATCATCATTTTTCTTTTTATGTCTGTGATATTCCAATAATTTAAAGCTCCTGATATATTTTTGACATAGTACATATCTAGTATAATTGAATTTATTGGTTCAGTGAAAAAGGGTGTTGCATGATGAAATTTTTTCCCGATTATTAAGATATTGTTATTCATTTCTATAATATTAACACATTTAACGACTTCTCCTCCTTTTGTTAAAATAAAACTATCTGATTCTTTTTGTTTTCTTATAACAATATGTGTGTCATTAAAAAATAAACTTTTATACTGAATTCCAAAAATATTATCCATTAATGGACCATTTGTATGAGGTATTTTCAGAATAGGTTTCTCATCTAAATGTATACTTTTAAAAGTGTTCACATTAATTGAGTTTATTTCTGAATATCTATTTATGACCTGTTCCAAAGGCTTTTCTGGTTTTCTTAAAAAAGATTTCAATTCTTTCATATGGTTTTCAAAAATAAATGCACTACATTGATCAAGTGGTCCGAATTGTTCTTAATCATCACATAAATGTAATAACATATGGACATTATGCGATACAAGGTATTCACCATATAAATTTTGAAATTGTTTCACTAAGTAATCTAATAAATGTCTTGCATAATTGACTAGTGATTTGTGATTCGGACTAAGAAGTATAATCATAGCAATACTTAAGGACATAAAGTGAGAGTAACAATCATCGTTTAATTTTGCTTTTAAAACTAATGGTCCTGAATAGAGCAAAAAAAATTGTAACTCAACGGCTTTCCAGCGTCCAACTTCAAATAGACTTCTACTCTTTCTAACAAAATAAGATGAAATATCAGTATTTAATGCCAATAATGATTTTGACAGATCTTTAATATCTTTAGACGGTAAACGGGTTTTTAAAGGACCGGACTTCCAAAGCAACAATAACTCGTTCATTACCCCCAAACAAACTAAATGCATATAGTCGAGGGGGAATGATTTAACCATGTCAAAGTCATTTAACTTGGTTAAAACTGATGGAGATTCTGAAGTATGATAATCTTCATCTATCATATTTATATATGAATTGTGATCCCTCAAAGTAGATTTCCTGTTAGAATATGGAAAACAAACTCTATTTTTTTGATAATCGCCATCAATGAAACAACGGGTACAAGAATGAAATCCAGAATGTGTTTTAACACGTAAAACAAATGCTCTAGCTGGTGAATCATAACAAATGAAACTTATAGATATTTTGATATTAACATTGTTTATGCTGATTCCATTTGTTATCAAATCATCAGCTTCTGTAACAAATTCTGAAAGAAATTCGTTGCTGTCTTCAGGTTTAGTTTAGCCATAGTAAATTCCTACTGGAAATACTTTTTTGGTTGAAAATTCTGAAATGATATATGCTAATATTGGCCAAAATTGATTTCCACTGCTTTTACTTAATGGTAAACCATCAATTCCAACAGCAATTTTCAACTCGGCTAAATTTTCTGGAGCATATTTTTTAATACCTGAAGCCAAACCAAAATGGTGATAAGTTCCAGGATTCAGAGTTCTAATAGTTTTAGAAATTTGACTTGGGGTACATAAAACACTTCTTACATCAAGAGGAAGGTTTTGGAAACATTTGTGTTTTTTTAAACCAGATAGAAGTCCACTGAGAGCGTTATGAGAAATTTTATACTGAATAGCCCAAGAAGCAATACAATTCTTAATGGTATCCTATACCGATTGATCAACAACTTCAGTCAATGTAGGACCAGTAAATATTATAGGCGCTACTTCTGGTTTTAAGACTAATGCATCATTGTTTTGAATGGATTGACATGTTAAAGATTCTCTGGTTGTTATAAACTCATCATCAGTGGTAATTAACTCTATAGGAGAATACATTTTTGATGGGTTATTATTAAATAATGCAAGATCATTCCTGATTTTTCGCCTTTTAGTCCGTTGACTTTTTATCATATTAACAACTGAAATATCAATAATAATACATTATCTACCTAATGTATTGTGAAGTAAATATAATATTTAATTTTATGAAACATGAATAATTTGAATGTATTAAATTAATAATACTACTAACTAATAATTATAGGTAGGTACTATAATTTTTTATAATAAATACCTATACTCAATACTCATTCCACAGCTGGTTATTTTATTTATATAACTATTATATAGTTAGTCAATACCAATTAACAAATAAAAATAAAATAAATACTTAAACAAGTAATTAAGGTCATAATAACGTAGACATTTAATTTTATTGAGATGATATTTTTTTTTGTTTTTGAATAGTAAGATATGGTTTTGTACTGAAATATAATTTTACTAGAAATGCTGATGATATACTTAGATGGGTACTTGTTTCTGTTCTTTTATTGATGAAAACATGATTAAACATTACCGGTACTTTTATAGGCACCTAAATTATTGATTCAATTTTATTTTCTTATTATATCATTTCTTTAGTCAAAATGAGTATGTATTTATCATTTATGTGTACATTTTCATCAATAATTATATATTCAAAATATATAATATTATAGTACCCATTTACATAATCATATTTAGTTATAGATAATCAAATTAATAATAAAATAGATATACTTACAATATTATATTCTATGTAAGGGACAGAAAATCTAATGACTGAATATAGCAGACAAATATCTATTAAAAATCACAAAAAATAACATTATTAGTATGGTTATTTATTTGACCTAAGTAAAATAAATTAGATTGAATTACACCGGATGTTCATAAGTAGGCACCCGTGTAATAACAGAATCAGGGAACATTTTGTATTAATATGTAATAGATACCAACGAACACGAAATAAAAAAAATTACTTTAATAATAAATTATAGTTAAATGCTACAAAGTTAAATGCGTAATGTTTCAGATAACATTAATCAAGTTCGTCCACGTAACTTTGTTTTAAAAAACCTCATGGAATTAATGTTCAATACCAGATACTTTTATAAGTACCTAGGCATTGTCCACAATTGTATGTATAGTTATGTATAGACATTAGACACATTGCCATGTGTTACGATTCTTGTATTACTTCAAATACCCTAAATGTTAGTTGGAATCGAATCGGGTACCAATAAACGATCCTCGTAATTTGTAATAATATTATAGGTATTTAGTACTTTTTACTTACCAATATTGCTTGTAAACGAATATTGTAACAATAATTATCATAAACGTCAAAACACACTCATAAAATTGATGACAGACAAGACGCGACAGCGCCACAGCGGTCAACGGCAATCAACGATTAAGCAATGATAGACGATAGTAATAATTAATAAGTATAACAAACTAACAACGCATTTGCAAATCGACGATCATCGACGGTGATTGCAATAGAGTGAATACCGTAGCCGTGGGGCTTGGGCTCGTAGGCCGTAGTAGAAATCTAGGAAATCCCGATATCAGAATTATTAGATAAACATTAAACGTATAATCGTTGGCATGCGGGCATATTAAATTGTTTTGATATTATATATGCTATCATTGATTTTAAATACTATTTAGTATTTTGGTGGCCGGTATTTATATAAACGGTCTGAATCATGATAAAATAACAGGGTTTACCATACAGCCCGCTGTCCGCCGTTATGATACCTAATGGTGCATTGCTGCAGCACAACACGTCGTAGGTATACCGTATACAAGTATACAGCACGGACTTATATACCCGTAATACCTATATAATTTAATAATATAATCATCGTTTATAACCATCGCGATATATTTTAAAATGAAAATATTTAAATATAGGTACTTCCTAATTTCCAAAAGTCTTTTCCGTTGAACAAACATAATTTTTTTAACAAAATATTCTTTAGAAGGTTTAAAATATAATATGCTACTCAGTACAGGCGTAGACGCGTAGTACCTATGCACTTGTTGTCCCCGTCTGACAAACGTACGGGATACCAAATTTTCATTCACTACACAAGGTTACAATAGTGTATAGGGAGGTACAGAGCAAATTGTAAAGCGAACGCCTAAAATGATGATTACAAAATATTAAGATAATATTATCCTCTGTTCCTGTTGTTACAGTTATAGGTATAGTTATAGGTAGGTATGTTATTCATGCGATAGAAGATGAATAATATTATATTTATATAAATCTCTGTATAAATCGTTCGTAGCGCAAACCATATTTGTATAAAATAATCTATTAAGTAGGTAAAGGTACCTATAATAATAAGAAGTAAGAAATATTTTTAATACGATTAATATGTTGCAAAATGTCGAAAATTAGTTTATTAAACTTTATAAAATATATAATATAATAGTCTAATCTTTAGTCTTTTGACTAAAAAAAAATTATAATTAAAAACATAAAATTCAAAATATAACATTCATACAAATTTTAAATCATTATTTTTTCATAATGTTGATAATATTAAGTTGATATAACATAAAAATCATAACTTTCTTTAAACTTAGTCTAAATAAAATTATCAAAATGCTAATTAGAAGTTTAACTAATAACATTAGAAGTATAAAATTAGTGTAATTTTATAATTATAATGTT